TTACAAAAACTTACTATTTTGCAAAACTTGTAAATACATGTGTACATAAACTTCTTGATTTTTGACTATTGAGTTAAACAATATTTTGAAACCTTATAAAGTAATTTTATAGACTTAATAAAATATGTATAAACTAATATTAAAGTTTATAAACTAATAAAATAATATTTTAACAAAAACACATATATTTTGATAAAATCAACAAATATGTGTGTGTAATTGATATGAGCTTGAAGTATTAACACACAAGTATAAACCTATATAACAAACACTATAAACTATATACCAAAGCTTGAAGGTCTTAAATGTAGCTCTCTTGGGTAAACTTACGGATGAAGCTTAAACTTAGATCTTCAACTTGAATTGCATTGCTTCACTCAACTATTCCACCAACCTCCATTGGATATGATCGTGAATGCTCGATTTCATCCATCCTCTAACATGTTGTTTGTCTAGAATAAATACAAAATATAAACACTAAACAAACAATATTAGATGTAAATTATTTGTAAATCATCATTAAAACAAAAGGACCTAACAAATCAGGCGTCTCATCTCAACAGGAATGGCTTCGCCGTCCTTATCCAAAAACCCATGATGAATGTTCCGGTCCCAGTCCTTCAGAAGAGCGTGCCAGAGGAATAAGCTTAAAGACGCCCCACCATCGCACTTCCTCATCCTCATCAACCACTTCAAGAGCTTCCACCTACGATCGAGTATACAGGCTGGTCACTAATACAATTGGAGGGAATACCCCACTCTCGGACGAGATAATGGAATGCTCATTTGAGAAGTTCAAAATGCCCCACTTAGGAACATACTCGGGTGAAGGAGATCCTTCTGAGCATGTTCAAAATTATTTTGGCATAATGAGTATTCTCTAAGTTTCTAAAGAAATCCTCTGTCGGTGCTTCCCTGTCACCCTCACAGGAAGCGCTAAACTTTCGACCACTACTTCCCTATCACCCTCACAGGAGATCCATCAGTAATTTTCGACAGCTAAGTCAAAAATTCATCCACCACTTCTTAGCTGACACCAAGCAGAAACTCCCCCCTCATGTATTGATCTAAATGAAGCAGGGACCAGAAAAGAGCCTTCATGCCTACTTCAAGAGATTCCAAGCTACGAGGTTAGAAGTCAACGACCCGGGAAGCGCAGTAACCATGGCGACACTCGTCGCCGGCCTACAGAGCAATGAATTGGCCGACTCTCTCGCTAAGAAACCAGTCGCCAATTATGAATAATTGATGGCTAAAGCCCATGAATACATGGATATGGAGGACGCCCGAGCTTACAAGGCCTCAGCAAGGAACGCGGGGGTTCCCATTGCCATGACTTCAGCAATGCCAGCAACCATGGTCATTCCATCAGACCCTCCAACAGCACCAACAGTAATTCTGTCACCTGAACCGACTAGAAGTCCTCCAAGGCTAGGATGGCACAAGAATCCTCCAAGGGCCAACTCTCGTTTTAATCACTCGGATAGGAGAAATCAGCAGAGAAATCCGGCACCAAAGGAATCTCTAACCATCTTAGACACCTTGCTTACTAGTGCCTTGTCTATGGTCCAGAGGGAAGGATATCTCAAAGATCCTACACAAAAGATGTCATCAGATCCCAGAAGCAGGGACACTAAGCAATTTTATCATTACCATCGAAATGACGGACACCTCACCAATGATTGCCGGATCCTCAAGAGGGATATAGAGGATCTGATCAAGAGAGGATATTTAAGAAATCTCACTTTCTAGAGAGATCGCAGGGATACTACCCCAAACAGAAATGATAGGAGATCCTGCTTGCGGTCGTCTTTGTTGATCTTCTTGTTTTGATGATGATTTACAAACAGTTTACTTCTAATGTTGTTTGTCTAGTGTTTGTGTTTTTTGTATCAATTGTAGACAAACAATATGTTGGAGGGTGGATGGAATTGCGTGTAGGATCTGAAATAGATACACTAGAACACTAGAGGGGGGTGAATAGTGTTCTTTTAAAATTATTGCA